GGGGGTGTGGGGGGAGGAGGGACACGGCCACGGCCGGACAGGCCGCCAGCGCCGCCCTGGACAATGAGCGACTTCCTCAGGGTCCTCGGGTCCGGGGTCCCCCGCGCCCGCCCTCAGGACCGGGGAGCCATGGCCCTTTCAGTCGCTGTCCTCTCAGGAGGAGAGACCCCTTCCTTCAGGGACTCTCGAAAAATGACCCTCAGTGACCACCTCTCAGGAGCATGAGACCCCGCAGAGGTCAGAAAGAATGACCCCCCAGTGAGCGCCCGTCAGGAACGGGACCCCTGGGTCAGTGACCTCTCAGGAAGAGGGAACACTCTCTCCTGGTGTCCACTCTAAGGAATGAGCCCCGGGGACCGGGGAGGGGAGCCCTCTCGGTGACACGCCCCTCGGCGGTGACCTCTGCACAGGTTCCGCTTGGGAGCGTCTCTGGGGAGGAAGGCTCGGTGCCCCAGCACCCCAAGGCTGCGGCCATGCTGTTAGTGTCACGGGGTGTGTGTCAGGGGTGGTGACCGTGGGACAGGACAGGATGACGGACACAGGACAGGATGACGGGGACACAGGACAGGATGACGGGGACACAGGACAGGACTGGGGGACACAGGACAGGACTGGGGACACAGGACAGGATGACGGGGACACAGGACAAGGGCCAGGGGGACACAGGACAAGGGCCAGGGGGACACAGGACAGGACTGGGGGGACACAGGGAAGGGCCAGGGGGACACAGGACAGGACTGGGGGGACACAGGACAGGACTGGGGGACACAGGACAGGACTGGGGGGACACAGGGAAGGGCCAGGGGGACACAGGACAGGACTGGGGGACACAGGACAGGACTGGGGACACAGGACAGGATGACGGGGACACAGGACAAGGGCCAGGGGGACACAGGACAAGGGCCAGGGGGACACAGGACAGGACTGGGGACACAGGACAGGATGACGGGGACACAGGACAAGGGCCAGGGGGACACAGGACAGGACTGGGGGGACACAGGACAAGGGCCAGGGGGACACAGGACAAGGGCCAGGGGGACACAGGACAGGACTGGGGGACACAGGACAGGACTGGGGACACAGGACAGGATGACGGGGACACAGGACAGGACTGGGGGACACAGGACAGGACTGGGGGGACACAGGGAAGGGCCAGGGGGACACAGGACAGGACTGGGGGGACACAGGACAGGACTGGGGGACACAGGACAGGACTGGGGGACACAGGACAGGATGACGGGGACACAGGACAGGATGACAGGGACAGAGGACAGGATGACGGTGACACAGGACAGGACCAGGGGGACACAGGACAGGACCAGGGGCACACAGGTCAGGGACCAGGGGCACACAGGTCAGGGGGACACAGGACAGGATGACAGGGACACAGGACAGGACCAGGGGGGCACAGGACAGGATGACGGGCACACAGGACGGGACCAGGGGGACACAGGACAGGATGATGGGCACACAGGACAGGACCAGGGGGACACAGGACAGGACCAGGGGGACACAGGACAGGACCAGGGGGGCACAGGACAGGACCAGGGGCACACAGGACAGGGGCCAGGGGGCACAGGACAGAATGACAGGGACACAGGACAAGACCAGGGGGACACAGGATAGGGCCGGGGTGGCCCAGGATAGGGCCAGGGGGACACAGGACAGGGCCAGGGTGACGACACATGTCAGGGTCAGGGTGGCTCAGGACAGGGTGATGGTTCAGGTCTGCCCTTCCACTTTGAACGGCAGTTGCCTGAGCAGCACCTGACACCAGATCTCTACCTGCTCCTGCACCAGCCTTGGACTTCCTGCTGTGCGTTAGCCCCTGTTTGGCTTTTCACTGGGGCTTTATATCCAGTTACCCTTAAACACAGCCTAGGGAGGAGGCAGGCAGGGCAGGGGGGGCAGGTAGTGTTTCCTGTGACCATTCTTTGGACTGCCAGCATTTTATCACACCCTTAGGGTCATTACATGCTTGTGCTGACCCTCTGGTGGGTTCTCAGAGGCAGTAAATTGTCCGGGAAGGGCATTGCCCATCTTTCTCCCGTGAAGCAGCTGGTGGATTTGAAATGTCTGCCCTTGGGTTCACAGCGTAACTCCTTACCAGTAGGCCACAGAGCTCCCCTGGGAAAATTTCCTTTAGGGAGAATTGGAAACTAGAAGGAATGTGAAGAAACAACACAATTCTCCACATTTATTCATACCCCTCAGATGTGTTTTCATGTTGTTGAGTCAGAACTGACCCATAGCTGACCTTCCAGGGGGTTTTCAGAGGAACTAAATCGCAGAGGGGGTGATCGCCCAGCCTCCTGTAGAGCAGCTGGTGGATTTGAACACCACGCCTTTGGGATTTAAGGCAGCTTGTTATCACCAGGCCACCAGAGCTCCCCACCCCCACCCCCAACTCCTAACAACCCAAGTGCAACTGAAGATAGCACTGCCCTGTCCTGGAAACCGTTACTGTTTGAAACCATTGTTAGAGCTGCTGTATCCGTCCAGCTTGTTAAGGTTCTTCCTCTTTCTCTGTGTCTCTGCCAAGGATGATGCCCTAGTCCAGGAAATGATCCCTCTTGATAACACATCCAAGTACATGACATGAAGTCCCCGTCCTTCTAAGGAGCAGTCTCCCGAAACTTCTGTTCATTCTGGGAGGCCATGACATATTTTAACATTCCTTTCCCCAACATTGTATCTCAGACTCAGTTCTTCAGTGTTCTGCATTCAGCGTCCACTTCCACATGCATGTGAGGGAACTGAAAATACTTGGACCCGACGCCCATTAGCCTTCAAAATGCTCTCTTTAACACTTTAAAGAAGTCTTTTATTGAACATTTGCCTAAAATGCAGTATGTCCTTTCATTCCATAACTATTTCTTATGTGGGTCCTAGTAAGATGAAATCTTTGACAAATTCAGTCTTTTCTCTGTTTATGTTTTTGCAGATAGATTGTTTATTTAGTTCCTTTTTTTTTTCAGCTAAAAGAAAGCATTCCCATTGGCTCTCACCACTCAAAAATACCCGTCTGGGAGCATTCTGCTGCTTCCACAATCTCCAACGGAATTTAAAAACCAAGGCATGGTTCAAACTCCATAGGGTCGCTATGAGTTGTCTACGACTCGATGACACTTAACAACAACAACAACAACGAGAGATCTCAGTTGGCCTAGTGGACAGAAAGTGATGCTACCAAAGGTGGGTGATTTTAATCTGTGGCCCTCAGGCCTGGTTTTAATTGTTTTTGGTCAGACATTCTCCTAAGTGATAAAGCACTGGTCTGTCCACTTGCTGTACAGAGGTAACTCGTGGTCGCTGTGATGCCAAACACTGTGACACTGATGTGTCAAATGCAATAATGGTTACCCATGGTGCACAGTGCGTGGTGGAGCTCCCCAATTAAAACAAGCTTGGAAGCAGGAGTGGTGTCCACTTCTGAAATAGCTTGCCTCTTGAAACTATGAACTTGGAGAAATGATGAAAGTTACACAAGTGTTCAGGTCTTTTGTTCATAGGGTTGCTATGAGACATCTGTAACTCGGCAGCACTTAACAACAATAACAACAATAATACTAATAAGCACTTTCCATGATTCAGACAAATGTCTCACCTATTTTGAGCATATTTTCAGGAGGGACCAGCCCTGGAGAAAGGCTTCATCTTGGTGAGTGAAAACAAAAAAGATTTTCAACAAGACGGGTTGACAAAATAGCTCAAGCAGTGTTTGTGGAGGTGACACAGGCCTGGGAATGATTTCACTCTGATACACAGAGCCACGACTAATTACATAATAACTTGGAGAAATATTAGATAGTGGTGGTGTGTGCTGTTGAGTCAGAACCGCCTCGCTGAGAACTGACCCTCCAGCAGGCTCTTGAGAGGTCATAAACTGCCCAGGAGATTTCCCGTCTCTCTCTGGTGCAGCAGCTGGTGAACTTGAACTATGTACCTTTGGGTTGTCAAGGTAGAGTCCTACCACTGGGCTACAAGAGCTCTCTAAATAATAATACCCAGATAATACAAAGCTTAAGTCCCAGGGGAGCTCTGGTGGCCTAGTGGCAAGAAGCTACACTGCAGTCCCAGAGATAGGCGGTTCGAATCCACCAGATGCTCTGTCGGAGAAGGAGGGGCCATCTCCTCCTGTACCAGTCAGATCCAATTTGACGGTACACACACACAGAAAATAATAAAATAAAAATTGAAAAATAGGAAAAGATTAAGTCCCTAAATACTTGAATAGTATCGACCATGGATACATTACGTAGACTTTAAAAAAAGTAGTCCTCCGTTAAAATTAGTTATTTTGATGATATTAAATGTAAAAGAAGGTTGGTATCATGTTAATAATTGAAATAATAAAACTATGACATAAGCAAATTATTATTAGATGAACAT